AATATACATTAAATATATTGTCCATCGATCACAAAAAGTCCCATGAGAATAACGCAATCTGATTGGTCGAAGCGATCAGATCTACTAATTAGGCTCTTGTAAAACTAGGGGATCTCCCTTTTGCTCTTATGTCGTCCCGTGAGACTTTTTGTGATCGGTGGACAGTACGTGCAGTAGATTTATCGTAGCAATAGAATACTTGTAACGAACTCGATTATACGTTTGTACATAGTATTATAAATATATTATATGCAGGTCGTTTCGCAAATTGTCAGATAATGGCTGATCGAAAATTCAGTAAAAGGTGCTGATTAAATGACACACGATTCAATGTTATAACTTTTTCAAGTTGGCTTTGTTTTATTAATAGTACTCGATATTGCGAATCCGCACAATTAGGTACGACACTTTAATTACGAATTTCAATGGTTTTGTTTTAATTACACAAGCACAAATTTAAAGGTGCCGAATTTTCTCTTAGTGATTACTGTAAAGCTTACAGAATACTGTGTGTAGAGTATTTCATACAGTATATTACATTTAGGAAATAATAACTTAAATTAAAAATTAAATAACTTGCCATGTTTTCATAGACTATTGATTATTAATTTTTAATGTTTTTAATGCACCTATCAATGACTATAAATCTAATATTTTCGTGTGTATTGTTTGACGAAATGTTTTAGTATTCTTTTTTAATTTTACACCAAAGGATCAACCCTTCATATAATTTAAATTTTCTATGTTTGCGAAAATAAATAATGAAATTCAATTTGTTTCATATTTAAAAAGATATTTAAAAACAACTTTTTATGTATTTTAGAGCATTATAGAATTAAAAATTGGTATTCGATAGTCCATTGAAAACATTAACAATTGATTTATTTGTTAAGATAAGAAAAGCGCATGTTGTGTAAGTATATCATATCTTATGAAACACTCTGTATATACATATAAATACACCATATAAATATTTGTATAGCACTTGCACATTTTGAAGATTTATAATTTTATGAAGATGAGATTCTTTTAAACTGATCGAATAAGAAAATATATGTTATTATTAGGCAAAACGTTTTATATAGATTCGAGTATCCATGTCGGATGTTGATTTAAAATATATATACTGTTTACTGATCACAAGAAGTCCCATGAAAATAACGCAGTCTGATTGGTCGCGTCTTTCCTACCTCCTCTTGCCCCTGTGTTGTCCCGCGAGACTTCTTGTGAGCGGTGGAGAGTAGTACAATCTTTTAAATGCTTATACGTAGATATTTTTGGAGCGTCTGGAATCGAACTCCGTTACTGATCGTGAGAAGAAAAAAAAACGTCGTTAAATCTAGTTAAATGTTTAAGTGTTGTATCTATTTTGTGCAGCAATTACGACTACAAAAAACCCAGAGGTCTCTTAAAAAGAAATAAAAATGTTTCTTGATGTTTTCGCATTACCAACATTAAAATTATCGAGTTTCTTGTGAAAGTTCAAGGGTCGGTGTAGGGTCTTATGCAAGATTTCCCCACGTTAAAAAAAAATACAAAAAATCCTTTACATCTCTGCTTTCCTTACATTCCTGCATCCCTTACATCTCTGCATTCCTTACATCCCTCCATCCATTACATCCCCCCATCCCTTACATCCCTGCATCCCTTACATCCCTCCAACCCTTACATCCCTGCATCCCTTACATCCCTGTATCCCTTACATCCCTCACATCCCTGCATCCCTTACATCCCTCCATCCTTCACATCCATCCATCCCTTACATCCATCCATCCCTTACATCCCTGCATTCCTTGCATCCCTTACATCCCTCCATCTCTGCATTCCTTACATCCCTGCATTCCTTACATCCCTCCATCCCTTACATCCTTACATCCCTCCATCCCTTACATCCTTTACATCCCTTATGTCCCTGCAACCCTTATAATAAGTATATTATAATAACTGGTTCGAGTAAGGGCAAATAAAGGTAAGTAAAGGTAAGTACTTATTGAATTTTTGTATTTTTGAATTTTCAATTTTACGCCCTCTAGCGGGAAAAATGTGAACTAAAATCTCGACCTCGAATCAGCGCCATCTGGTTTTAGAAAAAGGAACTAAATCAAGCAAAGATTTTGGCCCTCTGGCGGGAAAAATGTGAACTAAAATCTCGACCTCGAATCAGCGCCATCTGGTTTTAGAAAAAGGAACTAAATCAAGCAGAGATTTTGGCCCTCTAGCGGCAAAAATGTGAACTAAAATTTCGACCTCGAATCAGCGCCCTCTGGTGGCAAAAAAAGGAATTAAATTTTTCTAAAAATTTAAATTTAAAATTATTTTTCAGGAGACTTTACTTACCTTTACTTACCTTTACTTTCCTTTTCTCGAACCAGGGGCCATAAGTATATTATTTATAATATATTTATTATAAGGATTGAAAAGATACAAGAGATGCCGGGAGAATTCAGGAGTGTAAGGGATACAGGGATATAAAGGGTACAGAGATGTAAGGGATACAGGGATATAAAGGGTACAGAGATGTAAGGCATACAGGGATATAAACGGTACAGAGATGTATGGGTTACAGGGATATAAAGGATACAGAGATGTAAAGGATACAGGGATATAAAGGGTAAAGAGATGTAAGGGATGCAGTGATAAAGGGTTGGGCGTTGTGAGACCGTTGAAGATAAAAAAATAATAAATAACTGGGAAGGTTGAACCGAGGCCCATGAAGAGGGATAAAATAATAAACGACTTGGGAGGGTGGTCTAAGCGAGGCCCGAAAATAGGGCAAAAATAATAAATAAAAGGATAAAATAATAGGCGAGGTACACAGATATAATAGAATCAACACGTTCATGTTCCTAATCAGTTTATTCAATAAGCTAAGAAGATAAATACAGCAAATCCTTCCTTTTAATAACGCGAAAACATGTCTGTGAGTGACGCTGAGACGTTGCTCGAAAACAAGGTAGAAAAATGTTATATGTGTACTCTTACAATGATAAGGACATCTGAAAATATTAGGTCAGTGCGCAGAAAGAGTTGCCGGGGTCCTTGAAACCCCAAGACGATAGGTCGGCACGCAGAATGAGTCGCCGGGGTCCCTGACACCCCAAGTTGAACGGTCGGTGCGCAGAATTAGTTGCCGGGGTCCTTGAAACCCCAAGATGATAGGTCGATACGCAGAATGAGTCGACGGGGTCCCAGGCACCCCAAGATATAGGTTGATGCGCAGTCACCGGGGTCTTTGATGCCCCAAGATTAGGTCGGTGTGCAGGAATAGTCGCCGGGGTCCTCGACACCCCAAGATTATAAGTCGGTACGTAGAATGAACCGCTGGGGTCGCTAATACCCCAAGATGATAGGTTGGTGCGCAGGAAGAGTCGCCGGGGTCCTCGACACCCCAAGATTATAAGTCGGTACGCAGAATGAACCGCTGGGGTCGCTAATACCCCAAGATGATAGGTTGGTGCGCAGGAAGAGTCGCCGGGGTCCTTGACACCCCACGATGCTAGGTCGGTACACAGGATGAATCGCCGGGGTCCCTGAAACCCCAAACTGATGTTAGGTTGGTGCGCGGAAAGAGTCGCCGGGGTCCTCGACACCCCAGATTATAGATCGGTGCGTCGGCGGTGCTTTCTAAATATCATCCTGGGGTGTTAGGGACCCCGAAGCACTAGTGATACTTTTCGTATACCGATATTATAGCATTTGGGGTGTCAAGGACCCCGAAGCTAAAATGTGCGACCCATAGACTTTATAGAAAAATTGAAACCATTGTAACTTGTACAAACGTGTTGTTTTTAATAAAATATATGTAATTACTTTGTAAAAGTAAGTAGGATAGTATAAAATGATTGATGTGATTTTATTTCATTTTTTATTTTTTTTTTTCATGCGTACACACTCAAATATATCTTATGTAAGTATGTACATATAAATTTACCAAAAATACAGAATACAATTACTACTCTATTCGTTTTCTTTTCATTTTCTATACAACTGTTCCTAATTATTAGGTGGGTACGCAGAATGAACCGCTGGGGTCCCTGAAACCCCAAGATAATAGGTTGGTGCGCAGAAAGAGTCGCCGGGGTCCCTGAAACCCCAAGACGATAGGTCGGTGCGCAGAATGAATCGGCGGGGTCCCTGACACCCCTTGAGAATATTTTGGCGTTACGGGGAAAGAGCTACCGGGGTCCTTGACACCCCAAGATGATATTATGTCGGTGCGCAAAAAGATTCGCCGGGGTCCCTGACACCCCACGATATCAAATCGGTATGCAGAGAGTGCTACCGATGCATTGGGGTCCTTGACACCCCGGGTGCCAATATCGATATGCAAAGAATAATGATTAAGTACTTGGAATATTTATCGATGGATTGTATGACTGGAACGGTTGAATAAAAACTAAAATTCGAAAAATAAAGCATTGTATTTTGAAATAAGCGATTTAATATAAGATATACATAGTTCAGAATACATGATTTCAAGCTGTGAATACGCAGTGACATAGTTTTGAAATTGGATAATATTTTTCGTTGGGCAATATAAGGGGATCTCCCCCTGCAAAACGCCATTTTCGGCGAAGCCCAAGTAAAGTAAAGATGAATAAATGACACCCAGAAGTTTTCACACGAGAAATACGCAAAAAGGTGTAGATCGTCAGGCAATGATCGGATGTCCAGTCAGCTTTCTAAAATTTTAATGACAGTATCATCTGATTTTCGACTTGACTCGCAAATTCATTTACTGTAAACTTATCGTTATTAGAGTCACATCGACATCGTTAGATTAACTAATAACTCGATCAGCAGAATAGCCAACAGCAACATTTTTAGCTTTACCGTTCTTAGCATATTGGCGCCATCCTGAAGGGGGTACGCGAAGCTGGGTACCATTAATTCGGTAGACAAGCACCAACATATATTTCCCCCCTGTTCGTTCGCTTATAGAATACCCAGCTTTATACCTCGTCTTCAGGATGGCGCTGATATGTTAAGAACGGCAAAGTTAAAAGTTCTGCTGTTGGCCACTCTGCTGATCGAGTTAATAGTTGATTAAAGTTAATCGAAGTTTGTCGAAGTGGCCCTTAGAGGATACCACAACACGTATTAAAATCAGCGTTATCCTCGCTGTGCGAGGTCAATTTTTCGCGATGGCCTCAACTTCTAACAGCTCAGTTCAATCACTGATGAACAAGGGCAAACGTGATGCAGCTGCTTATATTCATGCAGAATGTAGCAAATTACCCCTTGACAGTGGCTGCCCAGAACCTCTTACTGAACTATTGGATGTTCTTTTAAATCCTAGTAAAGCGATCGACGACTGGGAAACCATTGACTGGTGTAAGTGGTTAATGGCTGGTGGTCGTACGCCAGATGAATTTTCCAACACAGGTACTACATAAATTTTCTTCTCATTAAATCTAGAAACTGAAAGAATTTTTACATATTACATGTTATGTTGCTTATGTTTTTGTTACCAATTGTATATTATTCATACGTTCAATAATTATTAACATGTTTTATTAATATTAAATACACTTTATATTGCATAATAAAGTGGGTATGTTAAGTTTATTTACTTGCCTGCATTGCTGTTCGCAAGTATCATTCATGACACGTATATCATATGTATGTGTGTACATATAAATAGATATTCTTGTAAATATAATTGTATTTAAACATTGCAGTTGTTAAACAGTATTTGAAGCGATATGATTATTTTAAATTTATAATTGAAATGAATGAATATAATATAGAAACAAGATATTAGTTGTTACTATATGTGATTCAACTAGTACTCATTCCTTACAAATAAAGTACTTTAATATGATTATTGTTTTAAAGTTCACGATATAAGTATAATGTGATTTGCGTATTTGGCATGAGTAAGATTGTACAATAAATATACGTTCACATGAACTATAATAGATATGAAAATGTAGCTATGCTAGATGTTTTAACATTTAAAGCAATAACATTCATGGAATATAGCAAGTATATTGAATTTCTAAAATAAAACTGTTTAAAGTATTAATGACAATTTGAAGAATAGTATAATTGAATAGAATTTGATTAACATTTTTTATAAATTTAAAATATGTATACATTAACTGTTTTTTTTTTTTATTATTATTATTAAAGTGAACATTTGTAAATATTTCAGTAAGAATGTATGACAATGCTACAACATGTGGACTAGTTTGGACACCAAATTTTGTAGCTTACCGTTGTCGTACTTGTGGTATATCACCATGCATGTCTTTATGTACGGAATGCTTTAAAAAGGGCAATCATTATAGCCATGACTTCAACATGTTTCTCAGCCAAGCAGGAGGTGCATGTGATTGTGGTGATGCATCTGTTATGAAAGAAATAGGGTAAGAGTTCTAATATACTGTTCAAATGAAATTATTTTCATTCCTAGAAGGATGATTTAACGCGATTACTTTTATAGATTTTGTGATAGACACGGCCCAAAAGCTGCTGTAGATAAGTCAACTGCACCTTCAGATTTGATGTGTGTAGCAGAAGTAATGATGCCTAGAATAATTCTTCGTCTTATTCAACATTTACGCGAAAATTGGTACGTTAAATATTTCTTTAATTTGTTATAAACATATAATAAGAAATGTATTACCCATGAAAAATAATTTGGAATTACAGTAAAGCAGGTGGCTCAGACTTTAGGGTTGTTATCCAAAATGCAGACGGATATTTAACCATGCTTCTTGATTTAAATAAGATGGGTGCGTTAATGAGGCATGTCATGACATCGGCGCTTACAAATCCACAGAAGTATAGACGCCTTATGGATCCTACTATTTCAACTGGACAGCCAGAGTATGATAGTTATTGTCAGGATAGCAATCAAATATATCAAGATGCAATGAAATCTTTACCAAATCCAGAACCACCCGATGAATATAAAGGTAAAGGTTGTTGTCTTGTTACTGGCCCTGTAATCGTAATAAAATAAACATTTAATCAAACTATATTTCAGAATGTGCATCGTTACAAGAGAACTTAGAACATACTACTTTCCTAGAAGAATTAATGTTCTGGACAGTTGCTTATGAATTTCCACAAAAATTAGTTTGCCTACTATTAAATATGTTACCAGATCCAGATTATAAAGAAGCACTTACTCGTGCATTCGTATTGCATTATAGTAGAATTTCAATGATGCTTGAACGTTCACCAGATCCTGATACTTTGAGTAATAAAATAGTTCATGTCAGTGTACAGGTAAGTACAGTTAATGTGCCGGATGTTTTTTCGATAGTACAAAGAAACACTGTTTCATATATTTACATTTTAAATTTCAGCTATTTAGTAACGAAAGTCTAGCGCTAAGAATGGTGGATCAATTAAAATTGCTTCACGTCATGGTTATTGCATTAAAGTACATGATGAGTAAGATATTAATTCAGAATACTTTACATGGTACGTATTCTGATGACTTTAAAACAAGAGAATACATTGCATGAAATTAAATACAAATTTATTTTCCGTTTAGATCCAGATAAAAATTTTCACTATGTAGTAGACTGTGAACGACAAGTGATGAAGGAACATTGTTATTGGCCGATTGTATCAGACTTAAATAATGTTCTTTCGCATAAGCCTATTGCTGTTAGGTTTATGAGCGATGATACACTTCTAGAAATGTGGTTTGACTTCCTGTCTATGTTTCAAGGTATTCTTTACGTTTTATTAAATATAATTGTAACGTATAAATATATTTCTATGGCTGTTTTTTTTTTTACATTTATCGTAGGAATGAATGTGAATCAGCGAGAACTAAGCCAACACGTTGAGTACGAGTCTAACACATACTATGCGGCGTTCAGTGCCGAGTTAGAAGCTAGTGCATATCCGATGTGGGCTTTAGTCTCCCATTTGCGTGGACCTGAAAGTGCAACTTTCACTCGTCGAGTTCTTACATTTTGTCTCACAGCGTTACAAGATTGGTTAGATGCTATAAATTTCACTCATCCAAATGTGGTATGTAAACATGTTGATTCGATATTGAAATAATTTTTTCTCATCAGTTAAAACATATCTCTATTTTGTTCGGTTATAGAATGATAGTTTACAAGTGTCGTTTCATCTTCCACTTCATCGGTACTTCGCTGTATTTATGTGTCAAGCAGTGCGTCAACAAGGGGCTGTACTTAACGATTTATTACCACCAACCGATATGTTACACCTTCTGATGATGCATCCTCTGCGAGTTCAGGTGAGTATATTTTTCTAATCTGTATGAATACTTAACGCATTAACTTAAATTTTCATATATGTATATTTATTTTTGTTTATCACGTGATTAATAGTAGATCACAGGAATTGAGAGCATCTATTAACTAAATGCCAAGCGTATATCAAAAGAAAAATTATATCATTTTATAAATTATTTTTTATCAACTTTTTGTAAATTAATGAGTATCATTATAAGGGGATCTTGAAAAACAAGTTTGGTTCAGGGAAACTATGCAAAGACATTAACAAGATTTCAATTTTAATGAAATTTTGTTCAAAAATTACATAAACATAGGTGGTAAAAATGGCACATAAAAATAGTGTCGTTGGTCAGATAGTCTGAAAAGGAAACAAAATTATCACTGAATTGATTAATTATAATAGAGGTGCAAATTTATCATTGATTAATCGATAGACATATATGAAAATAGAAATAACATAAAAAAAATTCTACGACCTATAATAGTGTTACCCGTATACAGCTAAAATTCATACTGCTTTTATTTCGTTTGGAGTATTGATAATGGGCGGTGTAGGGATTAAATCGGCTTGTAAATGTTTAGTGAAATCGTATGTGATCACTTTCATCCCTATGTATCCACCCGATCCCGGTCTACCTTTATGGAAAATTCCGGCACCCATTAATGGGACGGGTGGATTTGGTTCTATCGGTTGAACATCAAGGAATGGTATTGTGTTTTGTGCAGCATCGCTTGCACGGTCGCTTGGCGCGAAATTCACATACTGATCTGTTTTTGAATCTGGCATTGCTAGTAAAGCTTGGCGTGTTGGGATATCAGGGTTTACTAAAGTCAGTTCCTCTCTGTAAATAAAAACAGTTGATAGCGACAAATTCTATAAAAAAAAGTTACGAAAAGTGAACAAATTTTACCTCTCAGTTACATCATTGGTGATCCAGAAACTTCTTCCCAATGGATCTATTAGTTTCCCCGTTGTAAAATTGAATGGACTGAGTCTTATTTCTAAATTCAACCGCGAGCCAAGTGTTCTGAACTTGACGCCTGGGAAATAATTATTATTGTCATTTTCGCAAAATACATGAAAAAATATGGTTCTTCAAACAAGTATACCTGTTAAGAGATAATAATCTCCTGCTTCTAAATCATCTAGATCCACACCTCTTTTTTCCCACGATATGGTATGGTAATCAATATCTTTTTTCACATTACTATCCAATATAGAAAATATGTCAATTGGTTTCCATTGTACACTAGTTTTGTTAATGCCTCCTAATGGCATCAATTCACCCTCTTGTATCTGCATATGTATTATCTGATTTACTTTCTTCAGTCTAAGTCCTGTTACAATTCTGTAACGAATAATATATTGTTATATAGAAATAATGATTTTCGCTGAACCGTATGAAATGTTTATCATTTACTTGTTGTTGGCCACGTCGGATATAACAGTCCGCAAACTGAAGTATCGATCAGATTTAGGAGTATTATCATCGCAGTAACAAAAACAGTAGCTGCAATGCCAGAACAACCAACGCCACCAGCTATCCACTTTTGTTTTAGGATTGGTGCAAGTTTTCTTATCTCCGAATACCTTACCGTTTTCATATTCTATGTATTCGTATCTTCTATCGCTGTTACGTGCCTGAAAACATTTTATCATATTCAACGATGTTCTTACCATCATTTCAAAAGTATAGAAAAATTCAATCTACCGATGGGCAAATCCACATATCTGAATCGATGTACTCGCAGTTCACTATTTTACCATTACATTTGCGTTGTTGGGTGCAAAATTGATTCTTAAAACATCCATGCACTTTGGTGTACGTGTAATAGCCGCAGTTCTCCCTACACGTTGAGTCTTTATTCAGGTCTACCTCGTTAACAATGTATCCTTGGAATAGCTGATTTAGTTGGGTATACGTTTCATCTGGAACGATCGTTTAATTTCAGTTACGTTTCTTGGTGACATTACAAAACATTGATTGTACCTAATTTAGGGATTCTCGCGTCGCATCTCCAGATATCTTTAGGTGCAAAAGCCATGGCCGTTTTCACGGCCCTCATGGTCTCCGATGTTCTCGTTTCATATTGCTGTCTGACCAGTGCCATTTCTTCAGTGAAGTTGGAACCTGCGTTAAATTTATAAAATTGAAATAAGGAACAATTGATAGTTTATAGAAATTAATGTATCCACCATACCTGGATTATAAAGTCTCAATAATATATAAGAGAATTGAATCATACTGTAGCCTTTGATTTCTGTTAGAGTTATAGTGCTATACAAATTATAGAGTAATTGTTGAAGCGACTGATTTTCATTACAAATTTGAGAGGCTGCTTGCTACAAATAGAAAATCGAATCAGATAATGAGGAAATTAATTATTGACCAATTTTTTTACATTAATTATCAAAGAATGTTCGCTACAATGCTACGTTGTACCTGGTAGGACGAAACGAACAATTTATCATGCACTATGAAGTCAGCTATACGAGCGAGCGCACGCAACATGGACGCGTTCGGATCATGCAAAATAGTTTCCGAGAAATCGGCCAACTTTTCCAGATCCAGATAAGCATTTTTATCGATAATCTCGTGTTGCATCTGACGGAAAACATTATACAACCCGTCAATTTCTCTCAACTCGTTTTCAGTTCTAGCCCACAACCAAACGGAACTTAACGGAGTTAAATATTCATAACCGCTATTTGGAAACTTTTCTTCCAACTTGTCGCCGAAGGTTTTCTCACTCTTTATCAGATTCAAATACTTTAATTCCTCGTGCCCTACGTACATGTCAAACCTCGGATCAAATAAATCTTTTTCTAGATCATTTCCGTGTTTCAATAATTCGTTCCTCGTTTGGTCGATCAGCGTGATGCCCGGTTTAGCGTTTAGCGCCCCCCGTATTGTAAAGACTAATATCAAGCATATCGCAATTTCGGTTTCCTTCATTTTGATTTTTCTCTATCCGTCGAATTGTATTTATGTTTGTCCTCGGTCGTGTTTAAACACACTGAGCGTGAGAACTATATTCCACTCATTGTTGTCTAACGATTATCTTCTGTGGGATCGGTTGATCTGAAATGTTTACACGGTGGTCGGTTTGAATTTAAATCTTTAAACTTATCTGAGCGCGATTAACCTCAAAGAATGAAAGGTGAAAATATTTCCGGTAGATATCAATGTTGAAACGTTTGTCTCTTTGTAACTTGTCAAGCGTCCTTGACACTTCCGGGAACAAAAACATTTCAGAGTTGTACAGCCTTTGTGTATGTACGTGATATGTGCGTACGCATAGAGTTTCGCTATGTACGAAGCGTACTTGATGGTAAGGGTCGAATGTGCTGATTACGTTAAAAACTAGATACGTCAGTAATCAAACTAAAATGATATGTTCATGCAAAGATTACGAGAAAAATTGCATTTATATTCAGCGTGGTTATAATTTTTAGATTTTCAATTTACGTCTTCGATCGACAATTTTTTTTCAGCGAATCACATTTAAGTTACACGTGAGTCATATCCGCGCGTAATTATTAATACTTCCGGTGATTTAAATGGTTTTAATAAAAAATAGTATTTTTTACGTACGGTTTCTTTCCCATTTCTATTTGTACATAAATTCACGTATTATTTATTTAGCAAAATATGATGTCAGGTAAAAGGTATTTCAGCTACGCTCAATTTTGAAATATCGAATTTCGTTTCAAACGACCGTATCATTTATGTTTACCTACAAGAGACATGTGGATAATCATATCACAGTTTGCAAATGTTGTCTCTAAAATACTCGGCACATTCGATTGATACCATAGAATTTATCAGTATTATAAAAAAAATTTTTTTAATTGATTGAACGTTGTTTTCCATTAGTAGGGAATGGAAAGTGGCGCTTCAAAGTATATAGGTTAACATGATCAGTCGAAGCATCTCGATGATAATTTGCAAAAATTGAAACCCGAGAAAAAATTATTATTGCAACTTCTCTTACATTATACTACGATTGAAAATCAAATCGCAAATTAATTCGAACTTGCCCTAATTATAAATTATGTTACGTTTGTTTTTGAAAGCGGTTAAACGCGTTTTCCAACAAAACGAAAGAAAACTTCACCACAAACACTTTCCTTCTTCGCTCAGGTTTAACTGAACATTTCGTATTGCTGTCCCGTCATTTTACTCTTTGCTGTCCCCCTCCCTACAATTGAAATCGTTCGTTCTTTAACGGTGTTACGCGTCTGCGCATGCTCCACTTCATTCTTACTCTCATCGTTGTTAAGCCATTTATACAAAGTGCATTGTAGCGTCGAAAGAAGATTATAAATTTTTCTTTCACGTCTTAAATAAACAAAGAAAAATTTAATTTATAAGGAAAAACAAAGATTACTTTATTCAAATGAACATATTTCCAACAAAAATTTGTTAAATCTCAAGAACCTCTACTTTCATGTAACATTGTGTAGCGACGATTCTTTGTTAATTATTTTTCGCAAGATCATGAGAGAGAAAATACAACTGCATAAAAATTTAGTAAATAGATAATTAAAGTAAATGTTTTTTGTTAAGTTTATCACATTAATGTTGACAATCCTTTCGAATACGAACAGATACATAAACGAGTACAAGGTGAACATGTATCACGGATGTTTCAGCGTTATTAAACTAAAAAGAAGCGTAATAATTATTATTTTACGATGATAATTAATTCTATTAAGACTTCTTAACGTTTAGAGAGGGAGAGCCTATTGTATACCCCCATTGAATCCGTCACTGACGGACATTTTATTGTTCGTTCTTTGTTCAAATTATTATTTAAGCCGGCCCTGAATAAATACCATTGAATTTTGCATTGTTGTAAATATATCACTGCTTCGATCGTAGTATCATGATACATTCCTGTCGAGCTTGTAAATTGAATAACCAGATAGTCGGATGTCACTTGATCGTTAAAATATTCTCCCGCGCCTAATACCTCTTCGTCATGAATAGACACGATAGGGTATCGTGCATTAAAAATATAGTCAAAGAGCGTTAAAAAAAATTATTTAAAAAATGTATAAAATATTCGAAAGGATTTATAATTAAGCGATAAATAAAATTTTGCTAACATTGTATTATCACTTACTTGCATCTGATTTACCAGTAACACGATAACGCTTTTGCTGAAGGTGTAGTCGTCATTAGGGGTACATAATCTATGAAGGGTTTTTAAAACATCAGGAAGAGCGCCCGATCTGGAAGAAACACATGTTTTCGCGAAATCTTCCAATGTAAATCGTTCGTATCTTTTAGGTTCCACGACAAACATCTGAAAACTGTGGTAAAGATCATCGATCCTACCAAGCAGTTCATCAATTTTTCTCAATCTTTGATCTAAATTTTGTTGTAATGGTAAATCGTTCAAAAGTTTAACCATAATTGTATCTATACGTAATTCTAGTTTTTCTTGATACATATCGAGTTTATGGGACACTTTTGATATTTGGTTTCTTAATTCCTTTTCCATTCTATGTACGAACGGTAGGTTATTGTCATATTCAGGACCTCTTGGACGTATTAATTCCCACGATTCAAAAGCATCCGTTGCTATTTCCTGACCGAACTTCAACAGTTCCACTATATCTATGTAACCAATTTTAGCGGAACAACTTGTAAATTGTTCCACGGTAAATAAAAAACACAGGAATATTACTTTCGTGCTAATTCCTGACATCTTTTTTCATTAAAAACGATAGATCCAAGTAGAAAGTAATTTATAAATTTGAGCACATGTAGCACTTATTCAGCTTTTCTATTTTCCATTCCTTTATTGTTTCATTGTTGAACACTCTATCCGCTATCACAAATTTAGGAAATATGAACCAGTATTAGAGGAAAGTACAATTTGTAGGAAACATTTGGAGAATGAATAACACGGAGGAAAACAATTCGTTAACTGTTCTAAAACTGAATATGTCTCTCCTTGTACATCAATGCTATAGTCGCTGCGAACTGTCCACACCGCGATTGGAATGTCTTTCAGCGACGTGATTGGTCGCCTGAGTGGTGGGGCTAATACCATGCATCTGCAGAATGGTTCAACTTAAATGATGATTTTATATTTTAGATTTTAAAGGCTTCATGCTTTACCCTAATTCTTTCACCGTTTAATATTGTTTTAATAACAAATGATGCTCATGTTTTTTTATATTTAAAGCTGACCATTGTCTGAAAAAAATCAATGGATTTTTTAAGACTTATTTTTTTTCATTCCAACAACTTGTTAGAATTGTTTCAACCAAGTATTATTTAAATTTTCTTTTTTTTTATAAAATATATATGCATGCACTTTGAAAGCATTTTTAGATGCTTTACTTTTGTTGATATATTAAATGATTTATTTTAAAAAATTGTTGAAATTAAGTTAATCAATTGGATTTCTGTTTAGGTGGCCTTCTATGAAATTGTAAATGGACTGTGGGTGCGAAATGGATTGCAAATAAAGGGTCAGATAATGACATATATACAGTGTAATTTTTGTAATTCTATGGTAGATGCAGATCTTTATCTTCTACAAGTCTGTGCAACCAAGTTACAACCAGACATCTTTCTAAAAACAGTCATTGAAAAGTAATTTTTTAATACCTTTCATAGATTAATACTTTTATTTTGATATTTCAAGAATGATGATTATTTTGTTTAATTAGGTTTCACATTAAGGAAGAAATGAGCCTTTGTTTATATAGAACATCTCAAAGTGAATACTTAGATGCAGACCATGAGACACCTATGCTAGAAAGTTGTTTGACATTCTTAGCTACATTGGTTAATGTTAGAACAAATCTAGGTAAGTTTTTCATCACATTTCTTTATCACCGACATAATGTAAGATCAGTTATTAATGTAATTTTATTTTAGGTTTATCTGATCCTGAAATGTCTCGCTTAGAAATGGTCACTCTATTATGTATGGGCGATAAAACTCATAGTCAGCTAATGGAATTAATGCCAGAACGTTGTGGCAGTACTCAAAACAGAGATTTTGAAGCTGTATTAGCTGATGTAGCAGTATACAGAGCACCTAATCTTGAAGCTAGCGGAAATATGCAACAGGGGATGTATGGTCCTCAACCCCGTGTTTGGGAGGAATTATTTGACCCGTTACATGTCTTGCTAAGAGTAGCACAAAAAGGGGATTTCCAGATGTCAATGGATCGTTTTACCGAATAGTCAGTTGCCGATTTCATTGATAGAAATAATTGTTGAAATATAAAAACATTGTTTTAAAATATACATATTTTTTAACGTTTCAGTGTAAAGCAGTCAGGTAAATTGAAAAATAGCGCAACGCCATGGCCACCATTTAGGCATCCCGCTCCTGTTTCACCTGCCTACGATGATCCACGAATTGTATTAAGATCTAGAGTTTTTCATGCAATGATTTTAATAATTTTGTATAAAGCTGTGTATGGACATAACATATCAGAACATGTAATGGCGCTGACTATTTATTTACTAGAAATGGCAGTAGTTACTGCAGAGATACCTGACAAATCGGTAAGTAATTGATAATATATTTTTATGATCAAATTGCGAAATTCTGCATTCATTATAATTGCATTTCTTATTTTTTTTTTTTTCTTTTTAGTTGAATCCTTTGTGTCAGTATAATAGAGATGAATCATCTCGGGTAATAAAAGATATGGATTTATCTGGTTGGTACAAGAGTGATAATTTGTCTGAGAACCTGAGGACAATGATATCTCAAGTTATTTTAGTTCAAGAATCCGAATCAAATAGCTCAGACAGTAAGCTAAACCATTTACTACTATAATATTGCTTTTCGTTCCAAATGTTTTTTTAATTTAATTAAATTTTTTAGGTGAATTTGAATGGGAAATTCCGGGAGACATGACTGAAGTTGGAACTTCACTCATGTTGAATGATGGAACAGATGAACTTTCTTTAGAAGTTTTGGCATCTTTAGATGGTATTATCGTGCGTAGCTCCTCTCCTATACCTGGTTTACCACAAGCAAACGGTAAGTTATATGTTTTTACCCTTCACATTATTTAAATAGTCATTCCATGTAACATGTTAGTTAAAAACAAAACTATTAAAAGGTATACAAGTTAAAAGTTTTCAACATATGAAAAATGTCCTTTAAAATAGGTTTTGTTTTTTCTTTACCACTTTTATAGACCAGTATCGTATGACTATTGTACCTGACGATGGAATCGTTGCTATATCAGATGCTAATAGTGAAGATGATTTAATACCTCTACAAAGAGCTTTGCCACCATCCACCGAAGAATCCATGGCCCTTGCCCTTGAATCACCTCCTTTACCAAACAGTATGTTACTCAATCTTACTACCTTAACCACAGTTGGATCCCATTTGTCGATGCTATGATATTTTATGCTGTTTAGGTTGCTTTTTTTGCTGAATAATTATAACACTTTGCACCGCGTTTCCTTCATTTCTGAAACAGAACATAAGTAGTATGTTAAAAAAAATATAGATTTAACTGATTTGTAATGTAATCATAATTAATTGTACGTAGACATCGGAGGACAACCCGCGTTACCACCTGCGCCTCATCGGCCCGCTGTTATGGCTGGTAATGGTAATGTAATAATAGCTGCTGCTCAAAGTGCGTACTCACGGTTAAGTAATTCGAGAGTGACAACGACAGAAATTGTACCATCTACATCGAATTCTCACAAACACTTCAAAAGGAGAGATGCACAAGTAATTACGTTCATTTATATCACATTATGTGCTTTTTTTCTTTTTTTCACATTTTCACATTTTCTTTTTTTTTCAGGGTGGCCCGTTACAACCGCAAACAGTAAAAGTGGGCGAGAGTATAATTTCGTTGTTATTGAAATTACATTCACAGCTATCAGGTGTTCCGGATAGTTACAATCCCGAACAAAGTGGAATGTCAGATAACGAAGCCAGTAGTAGTACAGCTGCAGAACCAAAAGAGTGTAGGATCGGTGACGGACCATTCTTTATCGCGCAGCTACTAAATAAAATAGCAAATTTGGATCCTATGTGTAAGGATGCTATAAACGAAGCTAGAAACAAATTATGGCCTCGTATGCAGGAGTGTGAATACAAGCAACGAGAGAAGGAACATCGGGAAAGAGAGGAGAGACGAAGGCGGGCAAAAGAACGGCAGCAAAAATTAATGGCTGAATTTGCCAATAAACGAAAACAGTTCATGGAAAAAGCTATGAAAACAGGTAAAATTAGCGTTAAAAATGTTCAGATAAAGTTGGATGTAAGGTATAGGAGGAAAACAAATATTTTCAGATGAGGCAGGAGTATCTAGTATGGATTGGGATCAAGAAGAAAATACAGCTAAATTGACTAGCAAAAAGGAATACGATTGCGTTATTTGCAATCAAACTAGTCCTAGTACTGAAGATAAACCTATGGGTCTTGTTGTATTGGTTCAGGCAACAAGTGTTATTGGTCATGAGCGACAGCAAACAGAGAGATTACCCTTACCTACTTCTGACGATGACCCTCCTATACCAAAGGATGATACACGGGGTGCCTATTTTGATCGTAGAATGGATGAACTTAATCGTCATTTCGATACTGTAAATATTTAAATACATGTTATTCATTGATTTATAGTGAAGAAAATTGCATAAATTTCTATCGGATTTTTACAGGCTTCGTGGCTGTTATCCGTCAATTTAGGGTGGGAAGGTGGAGTTCACGTTCAAACATGTGGACACCATTTACATTTAGATTGTTTGAAATCATATTTACAATCCCTTCGCAATCAACAAAGACAGCAAAGTCTAGCAGTGGATAGCGGCGAATATCTGTGCCCGCTTTGTCGTCAGTTAGCAAACTCATTTCTTCCACTTTCTCCGCAGTTAGGAGAATGTGCAGCAGTTGTACAATCTCGTCATGCCTCTTCTGGCACGATACTTTTGGAGTTAAATAATTTGTTGAAAGAGATACAACGAAATCCAGTAAGTTCATTATACGTTATTTCATTTTAAATATTGTATCATCGATCATTCTTAATATATCTTTATAGATCTCGACGAATTTAGCCATGGCAATGGGCAAAGCCATGGAGGATATGACGAGTTGCACATACTTAAAGTATAAACAAAAGAACTGTTCTCCTAGTCACCAAAGTTTGTTCCTTTTCGTAACTTCTATAGCTCGAACTAATTTCGAAGTTGAACTCGTTCAGCGTGGTGGGTCGTTGTGTATCTCTCCGCCCACGACGATACCTTTAACACCAAAACGTGATTGCATTGGTAAATTCATTTGTTTTCATCTTTAAAAAATATTTCATACTAATTAAAGCAATTCATTTTTCACCAATAATACTTTTCTTTTCAGTTGCACTTCTTCATGTTCTGGCAATGCATGCAAGAGTATTGACAGTGTGGCCTGTACATCATACTTGGCAGCAATTATCTGGACTACCTACCGAACCAGCAGCTCCACTTGCGTTAACGTTACACGAGAAAGAAGTTCCTTTACTCCTCAGAGATCCAACTGCTCTTCTTATACAGTTTATATTGTTACTTCCTTTGCACATGGATCAAAGTACATATTTACACAAATGTTTATACATATATCGATCTTAGCGATTTCGTATTCTTAAACGCATCGTTTAATTAATTTTCAGCGTATTTCTCTAGTGTGGTAAAGGTAATCTACAACTTATTGTACTATCAGGTAATAGTACAAATAAGCTGTGGTCTCACGCAAGCACAAAGAAATACAATCTTAAGGAGAGAATATGTCGAACGCGCTCCCATGTCTTCGGAAACTATGCTCTACAGAATAATCCAATATTTCAACGACAGCCCGCTCTATCGTTCGGATGATATCGTATACAAACCATCGACATCGTCGTCAAATTCGTACGCAGGAATTAAAATGCATAGTATCGAGCAACAGGTATGCACAAATAATTAATAACATAATCAAACTTATTCTTAGGATACTACGTTTAATCGCTGTATTATTTCAGATACAATCTATGTGTTTACCATTCCTACGAATAGCTGCATTGCTCCGTTATCATTTGTACGAAGAACCATTGCCTTTAGTTAGGATACCACAGACTGAATTTGTGAGATTAGTATATTATTTGGAATTAGTGTCGGAGGGTATGGATTGGAATGTCTTTAATTCCACGGTAGCTTTGAACTGGCAAGATTCAGAAGCAAGTTTCACGGTACCACGTTTATGGTGTGACCAGTTTCTGGCTTTTTTGAATCGAAGTGACGTAGCTAGAAATTTGATAATGGAGCAACACATATCGTGGCAGGTACCGAAGTTACTTAGTCTTCCAAGGGAATACGAGAAGATTTTCACGGTACGTATAACACAGTTCAATCCAAATGTATTTTGTTTTTATTCGAATTTTACATCATTTTTCTTTTTGACTTTTTATAGTATTATCATGAACGACAGTGCCGTCAAGGTCACTCGATTCCCCAAGAGATTAGTATCTGTTTGTTATGTGGTGCCATTGTTTGTCTGAGACAAAACTGTTGCAAACAGATGAATGTATGTGAAGTTGTTCAAGTAAGTTACTAATTATATTTCTATACAATACTTTTAAATAATATAATTATACAAATATAATATGATTATTTGTAGCATTCAATTGACTGCGGAGGTGGTACTGGTATATACTTAGTTGTAACATCAACTTATATCGTTGTAATACGGGGTCGGCGAGTTTGTTTATGGGGATCTTTGTATCTCGATGATTTTGAAGAGGAAGATAGAGATCTGAAGTAAGTTATTTAATTTCTACAAATTCTAGTTGATAAGTTGATAAGTTCTTCAAATGCTACTTTGTAGAAATACTTATATTCATAATATTCTTTTATAGACGCGGAAAACCATTATACCTAAGTCAAGATAGATATCAATTACTCGAACAACAGTGGTTAGCACATAGGTTTGATCATACGAAAAAAACATGGGTATGGCATCGTGACATACTGTGACATTTTAAAATGTTACAAACTAATCACTTTGAAACAAGTCGAAGACTTTCAGCAGGTTTATTCTCATACAATGCCTCGCCAAGAAATAACAGCGCTTTAAGAATTAACAGATTGCTCTAATACTTTACGGATAATTATATTTATTACGATATATACAATGAGTAAGTAGACATAATTATTGAATGAAAGTATTACAAAAAAAAAACACTGAGGTGAGAGCTGAACTAAAATTGTTTATAGTCATATTTCGAAAGATTATATCCGAAGAAATGTATGTTTTGAATTAAACACTGTACATTTTATTTAAGTATATATATTACGTCCTAATTAAAACAGTACTTATTTAGCGTAAAGTATTTCTACTTCAGATATGGAAAACGATGAAATTTCTTAGACCAAGATTGATTACTAGTAATTAGATAAATTATATCATTGAGAACAAGTAATATCATTATTAATAAAATTATTTTTCCTTTTTTTTCTGTTAAGGCGAATTAAACTTATCGTGTGCCTCTTTTTAATATAGAAAAAAAAATAAGGAAAGAAGATTCATTATGTTCTATAATTTATTACTGCAATTATTTTGTTGATTATTATGAACCTCATTTTGAAACTTTTTTCTATTCAATTTTTTCAGAAATAGAACATTACTATTTTATTTTAACTATTATAATTTGAATACTATAGAGCATTATTTGTGAACATGAAAAAATTAAAGACTGATGTCTTTATCATAAGATTTCTGCTTCTGAATGAATTTAATATTGTACTGAACTCAATTATAAATCTCTATGTAATTTATTGCAACTCGTAACACGTTTTATTTTATCTAGTTTTCAACTGTACATGCAAAAGAGAAAGGTGTATTATGTATGGATTTATAATTACAAGGTGAAGGGAAAATTTCCACGTATACGTTAAATTGGCAATGATGTCTATTCTATTCTAATATAAAGAGCAATTTTGTACAGCGATATTTTTAACAGTCTCGAAGATGACATAAAAATTATGTTGGAAATATAAAATTAACGTATGTTTTTATTATCAAAAATCCAGAGTCAGCAGTGTAGTAATAAGTGAGATTGTTATTAACACCACATAAATGTTATTGTAAAATTGTTTTCTTGGAGAAATAGTTTTTTGTTCCAACTTAATGATGCGAACTCTTTGCAACAGTTTGTGAGAAACTGTAGTAAATTATTCGCTGATTAACGAACTCGTAATTCAGACAATATTTGATGCATTATTTTTCTGTATGCATATTATGGGCTGTGTATATGAACCTATAAAACTCATTTTATTAAACGAAATATTTATCTAATCGCTGATTTCTTTTTGCACCAGTGTATAACAGTTAATTAAGAAATTGAACTGTGGCAATTGTATTGTTATTGTTTCTGAAGAAGCAATTTGATTATGAAACCTCTTGTTTATTTAAATATATCTATTAAAACTCTATTATTACATGATATATCAATTTTTAATACACCAGTATAAAAGAAAAATTTCTAAATGATTTAAATTTTTGTGATACTAACGAGGCAAAAAATTGCTTCTTCCCAAGTTTATAGATCATTGTAAATATGTAATAATGATAAGACGCCACATATTAGGATTACCAGTTAACTCAAGATAATCTGTACATAGTTAATTATTTTTACGAATGTCCGCTTATAATGTTAAAAGTTTGCGAATAATGCGTTAAAAAGTGCTAAAAAGTAAGTAATAATAGTAATTAACTTTGTTCAATGTATAAATAAAAGCAATCCTATAAAATGAAAATTTCCTTTCTAATCTATGAATACTTCTTTCAACTATCTCTTAAACAGTATTTGAAGGGAATAGAGAACGATAGAGAATTATTTATTTTCTAGATAATTATTACAGATATAAACATGATTGTGAAATCAATTAAGCTGATTGAACGTAGATGTAACTTGATCATACAGCTAGTAGTAATTATTACAATATTATTTATATCAAAGTTATCTGCCTTTGTTACGAAAATGGGAATCTAATATTTATAACTATTTAATAAGTCTTATCATTCAACAAGTTCTACATTTCATTAATGGGAAATATTAAAGTAATTATTACGTTTATTTATCCCGCCTAAAGACGTACCTACTTAAATTGTTTTTATTAGTTTAAAACTTGCCTGTCATTCAAAAAGCAATGGCAACAGTGAAAAAAATACCGATCAATTGTTACACATTAGTAACAAGAACAGAAACTGTATTAATTATCTGTACAAGAATAACTTTTATTACAATTTGTAAAAATTTTGTCTCATTAAAGCACTGAAAAATTCTTGTAATAAGGATGCTCTTATAGAATCAAATATGTTAAACAATTAATAAATCTGTAGAATTTTCGTCTAATTTTTACTTTTACTACAATTTAAATAGTATTCTGTAAAATGTGTAGAATTAGAAGTACAACATTGTATGTTATTTAATGGTCTGTTATCTAATGTAATACCTTACATAATACTTCAAATTTATTACAATAAATTCTGTACCAGCATCCACATTACTTACATTGAATCAACTATTACGTGTTTGTTAGATAGAGAAACAAATTGTTTTTTCGTATCATCGATGTACGGTTTTAAAATTAAAAATATTTGTGTCACTGTTACATTAAAAAGGCAAAAGGAAAATATTACAATTATTTCTTTTATTATAGACGCACCTTAAACGCAACAATTTTTGTTTAAATCATGTTCACGTTATACAATATGTATCATGTTTTAATAACGAACGTAAAGTTTAATTTCTCGAAATTCTCGCGATCTAAATCTATTAATTAAAAAGTCTGTTGATTGCAAATACATTGCTAGTTATTATCAATGGACAAAATTCATGGCTGTAAGGCGTGATTATTTTTTTCTATTTTCTTTTCCTTTTTTTTTCTTGTTTTGCTTTTGCTTTAAGTGGTTAAATGTATACAATGTATGAAACTAACTGCTGATGGTCCTTAAACTTGCCATGTTACAGGAATGTAGAACAGCACATCAAAATGTTACGTAAAAAACCAAATTACATATTTTTTAACATACATATATATACTGATAAACTTGTCCATTTGTTTATGATAGTCACTTTCACTTCAAAAGATGTTGAAACTGAATGATAGATTCAATTTCTTCAGTAGTGACCACCTGTTTGTTCTTGGTATACCTCAATAACATCATCATTTTCCATTTCCAACTGAAAAATAAGTTACATTTTATGGGAATCTTGTATCATACATTTATTTAAGGTGTTATTTATAGGAAGGTACTAAAAGCAGTTCAGAAGCTTGTTATTAATAACACAATTCATACTTTTAGAAATTCTTCATTTGCTTCTATGATATTTAAGTATTTAAAAATAAGAATTTACCTGCTTTGGAGTTTCATCATCATTAATTCTTTTACCATCAAATAGAAACCTGAGAGATGTCATAGGTACACCCTAAACAAAATTCAGCAGTGTATAGTTTCATCTTATGTGTATAAAATACAATTAACATTTATATTTCCAAATATACATATATATAATTCTTAGCCTTGAAACTATACATATTTGTTGATAAATCTTACTGTAAGCATTGCAATATTATTATTGCATCCTATACATTATATAGTTTATTAATTAACCAGAGGGTACAAATTAAAAATAATTTACATTAATCTCCTCAAGTTATATAGATGACTTTCAATAATGCATCAACAGTAACTATTCATACTATTTAAATATATGTTTAGATTGAAAGAAAAACTAACCACACGATCACTATATGATTTCTTGAGTTTACCCATTTGAGTGGTCATCTTTACCCTAAAGTGAATTTCATTGCTGTCCTAAAAAAAAGATTCAAATGATGAAGCCGGTTACGAAGGGTCACCGAAAAAGAGTGTAAATGTAAAATATAAAACAGTAATTTCTTACATTTCCAACGACTTTAAGCTTGATGTATTCGGAATTTGCGTCGCCTGGGCCGGCTTCGGGTTTTTGTTCCTAATACGGAAGGTTAGACCGATTAGACTCAAAGTATGATTGAACATTTGAAAGTGTTACACCATATTTATGTCGCGAAATATAGAATAGCAAAATTTTCGTTCAAACAATAAAGCTTACCTGATTATCGGACATGATAGTTAATTAAATATAACAATTGTCGACCACGCGCCAGAACAGTAACCAAACACAAGCATGCAATATGGCGCCGCGCTTTTGTCAGTTGCACAGTCTTCTATTCTAAAAATAAGAATTTGAACGTTTAGTAAGTATCTTCGTTCGGAAAGACATCACTTTCTAACAGCGATGATTTCTTTTTAACTTTATCTGCTCGTTATGTGCGCATGATAAATAAACAATTTCTTTAATTTCAGCTGTATAATGTTAATTTACGATAGTACATTACACTAAAGATATATGATACTTTACTTTTTTTATTTTTGAGGGTTTGTCTCCATTGCATTCCATTCTGAATTCAAATTTGAAATAGGAATTCAAAATTTGCATTTGATTTTACTAAACTTCAAATACATATATGATTTATACTTTTTTAGAATGATACAATTATTTTATTAATAAGTATAAGTGAAAGTGGAGCTAGATGTCAGAATAATGATTATGATCATGTGTTCCAAAAGATTATATTAAATATTTAATGTAGTATGTGAATTACCAATAAAATTGATGATAAATTGTATCATTCGTTACAAGTTTGCTAAATAATGATTTTAATAAATTGTTGGTCTTGGGCTGATTTTGACTAATTTCTAAAAAATAGAATCAAAGAAAGCCCAAATTCTGTCTTTGCATTGTTAGCGCGGGGTATAGTAGAAGCACTGGTAAAACAGGCACATCCGTCATACCAATAGTGCTCTGTATATGTAGACCAAACCTCACCTGGGGGTGTTTGGGATCCCCATAATTATGATCGCCCCAGAACAAAGGCATTTTTCAGTCTTTTTGTATCTGTAGTCACTGATGATACGAAGAGATAAGTTGAAGCACCTTGCAAATTCTATGGTACAATCTGATCAAAGTATGCCATTAATGTTGTGACGTGTTATTTTTTTAACCAAATAAATAGCGAATTGTTCGCGAAGATCGACTGAAAACGTATAAATACCTTAGGCAAGTTGTATTTATTATAATTGTCACAGAACTATCAGAGATTTGTCACCATACTTAAAATAATTATGCGACGAGGAGGTTATGTGCATATCATTCAGTTTATCGGATACATTTAGAAACTTTTACAAATACTATTAATTTTATAGACTATTATTTCTAACTGTATAAAAATATAGACAATGGTTATAGGTCTACACTTTTATTTTCATTCTAAGTGATCAGTTTGCACCGAGGTCTGATCGAAATATTACTTTGAAAACTTATATTCAAACAACCTTGAATTCGTTAGAATAATTGGTTTTAATAATTTAATATTTCGATTATCCTTCACAATAAATTCAAAATTTCAATAGATCACTGTTATATATCTAAGTTTTTCGTTTGTTTTTGTCCAGTATATTTGTATCTACAAAATTTGTTATTGCTACTTGTAATACACCTTACACGTTTTCCTTACAATTTATTTATAAAAGTACGATTAATAGAGCGTGTAAGAAATGTAATTAATGTCATAATGAGGGGTTAAACGTGTAATTATGTTTTATTGTAATTGTAACATGTATTTGTAACTTATATTAAATTATAATAATTTTGTAAAAGATAAAATAAAAAGTTACTGATTTTTATTTATTAGTCTGAAAAGAGTGTTATTTTTATTTTGAATACATTCTCATTTAATATTTTAAAGACTGATCTTACATTTTATTTATAAGTAATGTTGTATTTTTAAAACCACTGTACTTTTATTAATATCTATATGATTCATTTTTAAATATTCTTATAGGAAAGTAAAATGATGCAAGATGAGCATCTGGGTGGTCCAGCAAGACGAAATGTATTTAGTCAAGGATTAGGAAGAATATCACAGGTATAATTCTATATAATTTCATTCTTTCAAATTTTCTCTTATATCATTTATTTATTTATTTACTGTAGTAACTCTGTGATTCATTATTTTTTAAGAATTAATATGAATGGTTGTGTTATTAAATTATTCTTAATTGTTAAATACACTTTTGTTGCAGATATATCAAAGATATTTAGATCTATGGACCCCTCATGTAGTGTCAAGATGGACATTTGCTTTTTTGCTAATATTTCTTTTTGTTTTGCGTATATTTCTTTCACAGGTAAGTTGTTTTCTGAATTAAAAGAATGAGGCTATATTTATTGGAAAAGAGATTTGAGATTTATTATTGTAATATTATGTTTATAGGGGTGGTATATCGTCACATATGCATTAGGAATTTATCACCTGAATTTATTTATAGCATTCCTTACTCCAAAAATGGATCCTGCAATGGATTTTGATGGTGAGTGTAAACAGAATTTTGAAGGATAAAAATTCATTAATGTAACAGAGAAATAGAACTCATAATACAAAAATTTTAGTGCAGTATATTGTAATTTTTAATATAAATTCTTAGTAGATATCGAAGGGCCAGAGTTACCTACAAGATCTAATGATGAATTTAGGCCATTTATTAGGAGATTGCCTGAATTTAAATTCTGGTATTCTGTGATGAAATCTACAGTTATAGCTATGATATGTACTATGTTTGAGTGCTTTAATATACCAGTATTTTGGCCGATACTTGTAATGTACTTTATAACGCTATTTTGCATTACGATGAAGCGTCAGATAAAGGTAAAAAGTCATCAAATTTTAATACATAGTACCTTAAGTTTTTCGTAGTTTATGTTTTTTGCCAGCAAGGAACTACTAAAATAGCAGATAGTAATATAATTGAAATTTCTTTTCAGCATATGATCAAATATAGATATTTACCGTTCACCCATGGAAAACCAAAGTACCAGAATCACGAGGATACTTCGAGGTTAATACCTTCAAAATGAATAGGTGTGAAGTATGTTTGTTGATGGAGGTGCATAAATGTGTAGATGTCTATTTTCCCAGTACCATGCGGAAGGAAAAAAAGATCTTTGAATTTGAAAACAGCCAGATTCCTTAATCAGTGACATTACATATGAATAAGATTCATAATGAAAGGTGTAATACTAAAAGTATAATGTTGTATGGTATATAAACTGAATTGTCGTAATATATTTGTATCATAAAACTTGTACAAAGTATTGTTAGGTCTTACATAAACGTGGACACGGTAACAATATGAACAGTACGCAGTTGTTAATGTAATATTAAATTATCAGTGAATGTAAAGAAAAGAAAAAGATAATTCATACACATAAGATTCGTAATATAATTACCGATTCATTTCGTAATTTCAGTAGTAGTACCGTTCTTCCATTTCAATACTTTTTTCGTTCTTTTGTTACGAACATTCCATGTACAAGATTACGTTTCCTTGCTTCGTACATTTTCACCATATAGTTCCGAATTCTATTTTAAATTTTTATTCTTTTAAATTTCACTTCGAGTAGTCTCTTTTTCAGTGACTATACAAATACTTCAATGGATCAGTCTAATGAATTTCTTTTATTTTCATTGAAAATGAAACCGTGTTTTCACCGAGAGCTCAATGTAGTTTGTGATAGACAGCATTTAATAATTTCTGTCGATCAGATCTTATTAGAGCGGAATAATTTAGTTCAATTTAATTCGACATAAGACTTACTCTCTTAGTGAAACTGTGTTCATACGTCAATAGGTGTATTAAATGGTAGTTTAAAACGACGATACATCGAATAATGCATACCATTCACAATTTTTATCTAATTTGATCCTATACAAATGTGTATATATGAAGTTATTTAATAAACACTGTCGAGTCACCTGATGCATAGTAAAGTAAATCTTAAGCGTTAGTGCTATTGAAAGGGATAATTTTTAAGGTCCAAAGATCATTTGCTTATATTACTACTTTTTTAATGCATCTCTTTTTACCACTATTCTCTTTCGCATAATGTTGATTAATCAAACAAAAGGGTGACACTTAGTAAAGAAAATTGAATATCTTTCAAATTTTATATTGTACATAAATATTGTTCAGGAAGTGTTGAAGCCATCATATTAAGTGCTGGCTACTGATGCTTGGTATCTTTTGGTGTGTCTTTTTATTTCTCTAACTTGATGTATCTGTTTGACATCAGATCATTAACACACTGAATCGATCAATTTATGTTAAATTTGAATCTGTATAAAATACGAGCTCGTTTTAATTATAGTAAAAAATCCTTAAAATAAACTTTTACGATATATCAGGTACAGTTTCTTCGGTCTTTTCACCTCGTAGATTTTTTTTTTTTTCTATCAATTACCACTTTTAGATCTTTGGACAAAATTTGTAGCTCGAGTAACGAGTTCACTCTGTCACACTTCTATGCATAATATTATTTTTTTATTTCTTTCTCTTTTTATTATGATACACCTCCGACGATAGTATTCTTGTCCATTATTAGAAATTTTCTCTTTCGACCACTGTAATTGTTTCTTTATAGATACTTGCACACTCATACACGTATAATTCTGTGTAATACATTTTATAAATCTTGATACATGTAAAATTATACAGTAGTTACTCTTGACGATATCACTGGAACGTTGAAAATGAAGATTTCTAGTGATATGTACACTCTGTTTGGGCAATGTTGTGCCGAAATTTTTATAGAACCGATTGTTAAACAATATACATATATTTACAATATATATTTTCGATACTCAATAAAGCTTTCACGCTTACAAATAAGTCGGAATAAAAATCTCTATAATTAACAGTTTATTATAATAATAAATTCTCTCTTTCACGAATCTTGGCACTTGGCAAATATAATTAACGTTTAGTAATTAACGTGTGTGGTTAATTTTATTTCAATTTTTCTTATCGTTTGGAGAAGTTATTATTATTTTAAATCATTTGTAGAATTACTTACCAATTAAGTAAACATATAAATCAATAGTGAATAGATTCAATATAAGTTTCACATCAATTAATATTACACATTTTTTCAAACAGTACAATTATCTTTCACCATTGTATATATATATATTCTTTTTTTTTCATTGTGGAAGGAACTGGGTAAAATGACAATATTAAATGAAATAAGTAATATTTTTGCTTATCAATTTTTACCCAGTTCCAATTCCTAATTCGAACGTGATATCTTTTCTTGATTTTGAAATTTAAGGGGGCTCTGATTAGACTGTTTAAAACAGTTCTATAATATACAAATGTTCCCTCGTTTGGTCATCGATACGAAACACCATTTGACGATTTTTTCTTTTTTACAGGAGTCCGCTCGTGGAAGTTTGAGGGATGTCGTATAGAGTTTAAAAAATAAAGAGAAAAATTTACTTCTCTTCGGTAACGAACGCGTTCGCGTTTGTTTCTTGGGCGAGAGAGAAATGAAAGAAAAAAAAAAAAGGGGACGAAAAATAAATTGAATGGAAGAAAAGCGAAATTGTCGAGGCATGAATGAATTAAAGGATGAATGAACTAATGAATGAAAGAGGACATCGTTTTTCTTTTTTTTTTTTAAATATAAATGGTTATTGAAAATAAAATGTTAAAAGCATTGCCGTACATCTTAGGATTCTTTTTTTTTAATTTCACCAACCATTCCTCGCGAACGATATTCTCCTTTTAGAGAAATATTTTCAAACATATTAAATCTTTCTTTTCGAAAGTTTCGTAAGAGATATTTTCGTACCAGACGGTATTAAATAATACGATAGCGATTTGCTATATAAATATATTTTGAATAAATAGTCTAAATCCATTTGTAAAATAAAATCTTGTCATAGGAAAATAAAATTCATTGTCAAATTGACTCGATGATAACTTTCTCCGACCAACAACTGGATAATTAAAATTTAATTAATTTTATAGTAGCATTTTCTATAAAATATAGAATTTCATAGAATTTATCCAGCCATGAAAATTCTTCGATCAGAATAAATCTAAACCCTGCATTGTGTTCTTTGATTCACTTTCCTTAGTGTTAGAATAAAATCATTCCCATACAACACGGTTTTAAATTGCACAGAAAATAAAAGTTTCTATAGGAACTGCCGTGTTATACAAGGTTATTACCTGACTTCCAAGTACTAATTCAATTCTTCGAGAGGACTAGACATTTATTCGTTAAGATCCTCTGAAATTGCCTTCTTCGATTTGTCTAGGAACGTGGTGGTGGAATTGAACCCTATCACGGTGGTGGTCGTCGTCTCGCTTACAGACGAGTCTCTTTTTCTATATGGATTCGACGGAGGGCAATGTAATCTGTAAATTAGAAAGCCGACGTGTCTAATGGTTAACACGTTGAATGCCGCGGTGCTCATCACAAATTTAATATAATTGAATAACTGAAAGAAAAAAAAAAAAAAAAGTTAAAGAAAATTTCAAGTGGCTTCAGAATTAAATTGACATTATCATTGCGGACACTCATAATTAATTTATTATTATCAAAATTGTTCAGTCAATTATCATAAAAAAAGATCAATATTATTTTTAGTCCATAGCGAATGTGTTAACTTCGTAAGGTATTGAATGGAAGAGTTGAATTAAAAAATGGAACTATTTCACAGTGGCATTTCACGTATTTAATAATCATTCATTAATTATTCGATTGTAGAATATATTTTAATTATTGGGTTAATGAGACTGTACAGGTTTTGATGATGCACGATTGTAATTAATATCTGGTGAAACCATTGAGTAAGGGAATAAAATTGTACCTTATACTTTCTGTTCTCGAACGGGGGGACCAATTGTTATAATACCTTCTTTCGGTATCCAGATCACGAGCTGTGGTCCATCGTTCTATGTGGTGCTTAACTGTGTTTTGAACTTCGGTGTTAAGGAAGCAGTAAAACAACGCCACAAATAGGCCCTGTGAATGAATTAATTAAACGATTTATCTATAAATCAGACTCTAAAACCACAAGTAACAAGTTATTGCACTGTTGCAGGAAGATGTTTGCTTCAAAAGGAATTAAATAGAAAATAAAATTGCACCCTCGAAGGATTTTTATAGAATTGAATATGGAAGTTAATTGCAGTTACTTTGTCCAGAAAAATTATGCAAAAGTTTTGAAAAACGACTTGACAAAGAGTCATGAAATATTAAACAATGATTATACAGCTAGGTCGAGAAATTCAAAGGAAAAATTTCAAGGAGTAAGACATCTATCTTTCATCAAAGTAAAAAGATGAAGAGCTCTTTTCAACTTCTTGCTCAGGAGAGTTTGCTTTGAAACGGAATATTTGCTCCTATTGCATTACCTGTGAAGAAAGTAATACAGCACGAGTGTAGGAGAATACATTAGCAACTTGACCCTCGGTAGGTCCTGTTAAGACGAGCACATAAGTCACTCCCAACAATGGTATTAAAACTAGTAAAGCTTTGCTCGCTTTTCGATATTGTTGAGTCTCTGCGTTCGTCGCTGACCATAATTTTGTTATCAGCACCTGTGACAAAGGAATTTCATGAAAAAATGTATAATTAGTCAGTTAACATTAAATAACTGCTGCTGTAAAAAATTTCCCCCTGACTCCTGGCAGCCATCCTACCGCGTAGGTGGCCGCGGGAAAACTGACGAAGTAGGGATGGGGGCCTCATATATATAGGTCCGTGGCTTCCCCCACCACTCGTGCTTAAACGTTTACGCGGGAGAATTTGATAATGAATACCCTTCACACTGCTATAAACGCGATAAATTATATATTTTTTCTGTTGTATAACTAACGTCATTGCATTTGAGGTATATAATTATCAATTTTTGTTAAAATTATAAATAGAAACAGGAGGCAAAAGCAAGGTTTAAATTTTAAATATAGTTTCCGACGGCTACCGCTAGATGGCTACACCATTTCTGTTCCCGTAGAACGCAACTTTTACAAACTTCTATTTTAGCGCTTTCAGCGAAGTTTAATGTTATCATTCGTATTCTATTATAATTATAAAATGATCTAAACTTGTCAATAAGGCGTAAAACTCGCTTATTGAACGAAAAAATGTAATTTTCGGGCTTCTTAGTTGTGCCGCATATCGATAGATGGTGCCAACGACGCTATTTTTGAAACGCGCACAAGTATTGTATTTTATTTTATAATAAATAAACAAATGTAATTCATCGATCATAAAGTAATAATTCGTCTATATTGTAATATACCTGTAGCCAACGCGTTCAACGAAGTTAGTCAATTAACTGCGATTTGGTGGTGTGGTAATCAATTTATATTTTCGACGCGTTAAATTGCCCGTAATTCATTCCACGCCAGTGATTAATGTTGTTCGATTAATTGTTCGAACGAAAGTAATTAATTACTATTAAAACAAGAAAGAACGGACGAGTTCCTGTAAAAGAAATTGAATATTTCGTGGTATAAAGAATAAAGTTATAAAATGTTATCGATTATCGAGTCTTAATTAATGAATATTAAATTACGTTCTTCAAGTTAAAAAATCCCTTAAATATAGAGTACAGCAAGAGAAAATTACTACCTTGATTAACATCTACATAATTTATCTTCAAAGATAGAAGATGTACGATGTGGGGAGTATAATCACACGGATAAAAATCTGTCTAGACAGGAATGTTAAAAATAATTCAACATTGTTTTTTTTTTATCATCAACATAACAATCAATCCAGCTAATCCTCTGTATCTCAATTTATATTTGTCAAAAATGATAAGAAAGGTCATGATTATGACGAAATATTGATAATACCGATCAAGATTATAGAAATATCACTATCAAAAAGTTTGTTAAGTTCTTCGAAAGTGTAGGTCTACCTAACATCGACCGTCAATCAGAATCACATCATCAAAAACTAATTACGCTTACCGAGAAATGACACATCGCGGGTTATTTCATAGCAGTCTAAATTTTCTGGGTTAATTAACTTTTCAAGGCAGAATGGCTCACTTTAATTTCCTTCTCGACGTGACGACGTTGAGTCGGTATCGCTGCATAGAACGTTCATTGCATTACCCTAGACCTACCTGTCTATTACTATTATTTACTTGGAAACCTCGTTCTAGCCGAGTCGATAATGAAATCGGTGTGTCTACTCACCCACATTATCATGAAGAGGAAGATCACGTTCGCGCACAGCACCAAAATGGCCGGGGCTTGGTAAAACCAGTCGTAAGGATGCGGTACCATCCATGGACAATGTTTTCCCAGAGCTACTTCCTGTGAAAATTCGGTTACCTTTATTGCGACTCCTCCTTTATGAAACTTGGACAGAGGCGATTTGCTTATAAAAAAAGTGAAACTATAATTTCTGTTATTCGCAATGTAAATATTGTTTTTTAGATGAAAATATAAAGATTTCAAAATTATCTCTTTTTTGAACATCTTTCCATGATTATCAACACAAATAAGGTTGCTTTCGCGAAATGAAATCACGACCAAGAGGTAAAATAACTGGTGAAATGAAAAATTTATCGATAAAGGGAAATGTTTGACTAACGTATGCCGGGGAGGAACGTTCTCCGTGTTATTGACTGTATCGTTTTGTCTTCGTGTCACGTAGTTCACGAATGGTGCGTTATCAAGGATCGTGTCTCGAAATTCTTATGATATTTCTTTGAACACGAGGAAATTGAGGATCTGTACCGTGTTGCCTCACTGATTCGATCCAGATATTTTTGACCATGCCACGAGCGATGCTCGACTGTAGTTGAAGGTGGATATTTCAAGGAAATATGTGGGTACCTGTTCGACGAGATTTTTTTACCTGGTTCGGCTGGTTCATAATGCTTTGATCGAGCGATTTTGCGATACCCCACATGGCGATGAACAGCACCGGCATCCCTGGAATGAAATCGATACAATGGAGGGGGGCGAGTGTAATGCTTGATAATGGTATGATAAGAAAGTTTTGTTGAAGATAAAAAAACACTTGGATAATACTTATTGCATCAGTCAATGATTAACCCTTTTTTGAATTTGAAGATTTTTAATATGTCACTACTGTTAAATGTTTTCAATTAGAATAATTAGTAAAAAAAAAAGAGAGAGATGGTAATGAAATAATACAAAGAGAATTAAAACTGAATTGTTTGTTAAACTTTTGTAACGAAACACTCGTTACAAATTGTAGTCTAAATTAGTTCTAATTAAGCAAACGTATGGAACGTGCTGTACGTGTGCATACATTTCACCTAATTAACTATGTAACAAGATTAAAGTCATGTAAATCTGGATTAATTTGACTCCGACTAGGTGCATTCAAATTACCTGAATCTAGTTGAACTTTGAAATTCTAGACGTAGATAATAATGGAGTGCATTAATTGAAAATTCAGCAATATACTAGAATGAAAATAGAAAAATTTACCCCATCCTATAACGAGACACAGTCGCAGCTTGATATTGTCACCAGTGAAAGTCTTCACCACCAATAAGAACAAATATAATCCTGAAACAAATCACGCGATACAACTATGTGATTTCGATACATAAATTTAATGCATACCTTCCACAAACATCCAGAAGTAATTTGTCAACTGGAAATAATTCAGGAGGGACAAAAACGCGACGCAAGTTGGTACATCCGGTTGCATGGAGACCTGAAATTAATGATTACCGTATCAGAAATCGATTCATGATTGCATAAATGCAAAACATGAATATAATTTATGATAACTCGGTTATCCATTGGGTTTTAATAATGAGCGAGTAGTAAATTGTGTAATTATTGCAGATGAAATGATTAATTTATTTGCAAAACATTCAAAAGCTGTAACTTCATCAAGAATTAATATCTGACGCTTCATTAATTTTCAATATTTAATTAAATGAACATAAATGAACTTTGCTTTGTAACAATACAATTACTGTTGAATTCGATGCCGTTTCAATTTAATTAGATTTTGGTTACTACCTGCATCACATGGTTTAAAATCCACATAAAGTCAGTCAGAATGTAGGTGAACATCAGGTTCGTGTGGATGTTGTTTCTAATGCACCTCAGCTCTCTGGAAGAAAAATTGTCTTTCGTTACAAATGATATTTACATTTCATTTATTCATTTATTCCAAAAATAACAAGTCTACGTTTCGTCGATTCGTTTTCAAATATTATTCGATGGAAAGTATTTCTATGTTATGTTCATAGTAGCGATAGATTTATTTTTATTACTGTTTTCCTTTCAATTAAATTTGACTTTATCATCGAACTCTTTCAACTTATGTTAATACAGAAACTTAATATGGAATTCTATAGTCGTATCCTTAATAAAGATCACCTGGGTGCTGTTAGAATTTTAAGTAGTTCGGTGCAACCTTTATCTTCCTAATAAATAATACTGCAACTTGGGATTCTAGGGTACTCGGTCAGGGTAGGAACAAAGGGTTGTAAAATGATCATTGTTAGCATTTTTCGCATTGAAAATTATTTTAAGAATTCTAGAATCATAGAACGATTTCTGCTGGAAATATGCGACCGCCGGAGCAATTATAAAATAATCTCAAACGCTTGTTAATTACGGTGCTGCAACATTTGCAAGGTCAATTACAGCTGACACTACCAGATGGTTTGATTGAAAGTAGACAAAAGGGCAACCTCGAGCTGACCAGAAGTCGTTTGTACTCGATCGAAATCCTATTTACGTGGACAACTTTGGTCAATCGACTTGCCTGGTCAAAAGTTACCTAATGTAAACGGTGTTTAACCCTTTGACTTAGAATGACGTACCTATTCACGTCAAATGTCATTTCGGTATAAACTCGAAATTGGGTGTATTATGTCGTTCAATCCTGCTATTTTCCTTACTAACCCTTCTATGAAATATGGATAAAATTTTTATTTAAATATTTTATAAAAATATTTCAGGTCTTAACAACCGACTAAAATTGAATGGAAAAACTAACGAATCCTGTGTACGAAAAATACTGTAGATTCCGGAAAAATTGTTTTTTTTTTTCACATTCACGCGCGGACCATTCTATTCTGTTTACGGTACCGGGAACAATACACGGGAAACATATGCTCGAAAGCACAATTCCTTTCTTCAATTTTCATTCTTCGATTCCTCTGTTCGTTCCGTTTAACTTGAACAATTCGTGGACAAAGGGACACGTACAATTTCCCTTTTCAACGTAGCGTTGTTACATTTCTTCTATCTCTGAACGAACTGGAAGTTGTATTTGTACACAGATATTGCACAAAGTTCAATTTCACCTGCTGTACCGAATAAAATTCGAATAATTGCTTTGTTTTATCCAATTTCAATTTTATTTATTTTATTATTACATCGTCGAGAAACATCGCCATCGATGTTCTCCTTTTGTATATTTATTGTTTGTTTTGCAGGCAAGGAACGTAATAGTTGGTCGTCGCAAACGTGCCATTTATTTCTTTGAAACCGGCCGATAAGATATTCCGCACGCGAATTGTTTCGCGTGAAAGTTTCACAGACACAACGGATAGTAATTTCGCGTTCGATTCACCGATATACATCAAAACGTCGAGTTTTAACCGATTCGATGGTAGTTCACTCGTTTCCAGTGGAATAAGACGAATAAGGCGCGACGCGCGGTTACGCGTATCCCCTGGGTAATTTCAGTAGTATAAACTGAAATAATTCGGCCGTCAGACCAATTACCGCGCCAGAGTACTTTAAACCGGTTAATTAATAAAATCCTGTAATCAAGGCTTGACTGTATTATTATACTAAGCATAAAACGTTATTATTTAATTTTATAATTATTAAATTGTTATTCATTTAGAGATTTTTTTATTTAACTTTCAATTTTCCTAACTGTATTGATTTATCCTGCACAAATATAAAGAAAAGAAATTCTTCTTTGTAAGTTCGTGTAATCGATAACAAAACCGAAGGTAATATTTTGTCTGCCTCGAATATCTGATGCATCATGGTGTTAATAATTAAGATCCAACGGAAACCACGGATTCATCTCGGAAGTGTGCATTTCAGTTCCCAAATGCGATTAATAAAATATCCCCCTGTTTCGTGCACCTACTATTTCCCAGCTTATTCCGTGCTTCCAAAATTTATGTTTTCCCTGGATCCTTAGCGTTCTGACCTCAAAGCACCGGTAGTAACGAGCTCTGAATAATTTCCATATCACGGACAATTTTTACCTGTTGCGGTTCCTTGATCCAATAGGAAATAATTTCTAACGTTCGTTTCCTTTCGGTAATAAGGTCTTTCTAATCGTTTCCCTCTGATTATTCAAATAATTACTTACTTGCAATAAAGAAAAATGGACACAGCAATGACGAGGGTGAGCAAAGAGATGCTATATCCGACGAAATAAATCTTTGTCGAAATGATTTCTACGCTTCCTTCGATATCCGGTTCCTGAAGATCACGGCAGAGGGTATAGTTAGTATAGTTACTCCAGATACCGTCCAGCCTGCACAAGCGGCTCGCGTTTTCTGTAACAAATAACATTATCCTCGTTAGTATTCATGGTTTTAGCGTTCGATTTTTCCGTTGAGCTGCGGCAAGTGTATAATTACTTTATCGCTAGCGATGTTACACTTCTGGCATAAACATTAAAGTATATTTCCCTGGAGAAGTTTAACTATAAGCTGAATTTCCTTCTGGGAACTTTGAAAAATTATTTTTAAATACAAAAAGTTTGCAGCCTAAATTTTTAACTATTTCGATCAATTTCGATTTTTAAAAAAAAAGGGTTAAGAATTCACACTTTTTCACCCCATCAAAAACTTTCTCACGGAAAAGAGATCAAATACAAATTTCATCGACAAATATTGCTCTATCAAACATTCTTTTTTTTCCACCGCACGCTGATAGCTTCACGGTAGCAATTTTCCTAGCTGAAAGGCTTCGTCCTATCGATCGATCCATACCTCCGTGTGTAACATTTAAATACAAATGTCAAAAGGCCCGGTCGTCCAGATGAGAGGTTAAAATCGTGATTTTTCACCGATCTCCCTGGTCTCGCGGTATTTGTAGACCGTGACGGATGTCGGTCGCGTTGCATTATTCAATACTGTCGAAAAGAAAGTGGCTGTGTGTAATCGATAAAGAGGGAAGAAGGTCGTTCGCAAAGCGAAACGTCGCATACAAACGAGTTTCTTAATTTACAAGGGTGCCAGATTCTAGCCGACTTTGACACGCGGCTTGATGATTAACAATTCGACTCCCACGGGGTTCACCGATCACAAGGGTCTTACGAATTAACCTCTGTTCCTTTCCTTCATATTTTACAACGCTCTATGTAAAAGAAGTGCGCTTTCTTTAAAAAAAAGAACGAAATCTCCTTCTCCTTGGAAAATGGAATTGAAGCTTACTCTGAAACTAAGCTCTCCCGCTTCATAGAGGAAAAACCTTTTAAACTTAACAGCTGATTTATGGGACAGTGGAAATTTGCATAGAGAATCTACAAAGGTTGGGGTCCTGATGTACCTTTCACGTGTAATGCATATTTGTAATTGCTTCTGGCGCGAGTGAAACATGCGCTGAAAATTCCGCACATTTCAATAAGTTTTGGAAATGTTTTGTAACTAACGATGGAATTACAAAATTTTGCACAAATAAAGTACTCCTGAAAGGTTGTAGAAAAATAAATTCGATTGGAAAGTTTGAAACGTTTGCAAATAAGGAACTTTCGCGGGGAGGATCCTGTTCCCGTTTTATACTACGTAGATTCTGAGAATTTGATTTTCGAATCGGTTGAACTTTTATTATATTTCCACCTTTAGCAATTGTTATAATTACAGTTTCCTGTTATTAACTTTTGAAAGTATAGTTTCACCTGCACGTTAATAAATCGATATTTCTAACGAGACATTTTAAATAACTCATAATTATGCTCATTTTTCATCGTACTAACGAGCGTTAGTGACAGACTAGATCACAACTTTTTCATCAGAGAAAAATTTCATTTTTCACCAGTCAACTTCCTTCGGGACGTCGATAATGGTAGCCGGAATTTACCTCCTCGAAGGTAGAACATTATTTATATCTGACGTTGATAGACTTGTAAAAATCAACAGTTCAGATATTCTCTGTTTTTTTCTCTTTCTAGATAAAAGCATTATCTTGTTGAACTTCAAAAACAACTTAGCCATAAATTTACGATTTTCAAAAGTAATATCCGACGTTTATACTTTATTTCTAATCCATATATTTTTTAAAAATTAGGGTAAGATGGTACAGGATTACGCACTTAAATTTTAAAACATTGTAAAAAACAAAGTAACGCGTTTCATTAATTAGAATTTGTTTTATTTGAAAGAATATTGATCTAGATAATCAAACTTTAAGTAATAATCAGCAGTTATAAACACATACCACCTTACCCTGTATCACAGTATCCCCTATACCCTATATCTCCAGGTTTGGTTTTCGCTTAGGTCGAGTCACATTCATCAGGATGGCAGAAACGTGGCCAGCAACTACGTCAGAAAGGATTACGAGAAAAGATTTTGCCGATGACCCGGATAGCTAAATCGGTTAAAGCAAAGTCACCCCCGTCAGATGAAAGATCCGCGTTCAAATCTCGATCCAGTAATCCCTCCCGACCAATTCTTTTTCCCTCTCACGATTTTCACCCGTAAAATTATCCTCCTACTGTTTCCTTGGGATTAGTTTTCCTGTTATCAGGAATTTCGCGTGTCATTTCACTGAAATGACAATTATCGATAATTATTATAAAATAGATATTATAGATATCTGAAAGCGATCTATTGATTAAAAATAGAATTATTATTGAATTCTGTGTTGGATAAGAAAATTACTGAAATAATGGGATAAAAACTTATCTGATCAAATTGTCCATGAAAGTTTCCAATAATTCTGTCAGTCTCGTTTCTCCTCATAGAAAGGAAACTTTTATGTCCTTCACATGTTATCGCTGAGGCGGGTTAATCAATTTTATTTAATACCATTTTTTTTTTCCAATTATTCGAGCCATATCTTGTACCTTACTTCCAATTTCGTGTAAGCAATAAATAGAGAGCATAGAACACGTGATATGTATTCCTCCCTCAAAGCAATCCGCCGTTTATAATCCATAATTCTCTATGATCCGTAATAATACCCCGATCTAAGCCTTTCCCCGGAGAACGATCGATATTCATCTGGCACACATCTCTATTTCAACTGTTCAAACATCCTTCCAGAATATATATGAACTAGTAGAGATCCTTCTTCTTGTCTGCTCGAACAGAATTCAGAATCACAACGAACGATAGAAATGATATCGAGGATTTAAGAAGAAAGAATAAAGCTCGGGAAAAGCAATCTCAGGAAGCACGTTTGAGAAGTTAATAAAGAAGTTTGAAGGGGATCTTTTTAAAAATTTCTTCGTCGAATCTTTCTGTTTCCGGTTCTTTCGTTCACGTTTAAAGACTTTGGTTCTTACAGAGTATTATGGAATTATTTCAAGTTGATTATTGGTTATTGATAATATTCGATTATAGATTAATTCTGTAGTTAAGCTACTCTTTAACTAACCCCAGTCTCCTCTATTTTAATTTATCAAATTGAAAAAAAAAAAATAGAAATTATCGATTTCTAAATACTAAAAACAATTCGACCTGTATTCAAGAGTTCGAATCGCCTGACACGGTTCAAGAAATCCTCGAGATTTACTAGTAGAGAGGATGTTAAGCTACCGGAAATGAGTTAAGTCAGTTGTGTTACAGGATCGTACATTAATTATCCGGGCGCGGCTCCAGATGTAAGGGTGATTAAAGTGGAACGTAACGAGTTGTTTAGTCTCGTTAGGTGTTCTCCCGGCTGGATGAGACTCCGGTTCGTCGGGAAGCGGAAAATTGCGCGCTTCGCTTACCGATTATATTCTATGGAACGATACAATTCACTTCGACGATGTCCGATGTTCGTCATTCAATTCGGTTATCCTCGTCGGTTAATTCGACGTCAATTATTTTGAAAAATCGCGACGGAAATCCTGATCCGCGATGGGCTTCAATGAGATTGGACGGAGTTGATCGATACTTTGCAATTAAATGTTTTCGATGACGGCTGTGTTTATCGCGACGAGACGTTGACGACTGTGAAACGACAAACCGTCGATATAAATGTTTCAACGTTCTTCGATATACTTGAAAATTAATAAATGAAATATACCTTTGGGAAAAAAAAATTCAGAATATAATCCTCAAAATGGTATGATTTCATAACTTGATAGTGTAGCTAGTTAATCTTCATTCATGTTTCCAATGATTACAATTAATTATTCCGAAGTGTTCAATAGCGAAGCACAATGGAAACTCATTGAGGCAACGCTCGTTATACTAGTTCGCGCCAATAATGCTCATTAATGCTTGTTAGCGAGCCATAAATGTTACAGGATACTTCATCAACATTGTAATATCTTACCACTTCGATTTTTAATTAACAAATAAAGAAGTTTAGTTATATTTAACGAAAAGATATAATTTTAGTCCTTTTGTTAAAAAAAAATAAAAATAAAAATTCTCATGGATTAACTTTGTGATTTATCGGACGACAAGTTAAGAAATTTCTAACGTGTACTCCTTTTTATCACAATTTTTCCGTCGTTTGTTTCCATGCTCTGTCGAAGAAATTAACGACGTATCGGACGCAAAAAAGCCCTGATCGTAATTGGTTGACCGGATTAAACGTTCCCATCGGCAAAAGAACGGCAAATCGAATTACAACCTGTTATTTATTTGCAGTTGCTTTGTGCCGTGGCTGTTGTCAATTCGACGTTTCTTTTCCCGTCTACTCGTAATGGAAACGACTCTCGTCACAAGAGCCTTCTACAGATGAAATTGCATTTTTTCCATCGTAATTTCACACTGATCTCTCTCGATTCCAGAGAACTGGGATCAATTAAGAATTATCCTAATTCCATCGACTGGCGATTCGAATTCTTTCAGCAACTTAGAACCAGATATTTTTCCTCTCTCACGAGAGGCTTCAAATAGAAATTTCAGAAATTTCTCATATGAAATGTTTTTAATTAATTGGAGTTTCAGCAAGGTCAGTGTTCTACTTGTTGCAAAAATTAATTTGGAATTAAAGTAATTATAATGTTTGCTAATTTGAATTCTGTCCGAGAAAATTGTAATTTCAATTGAAAATTTTCCTCCCTAGGAAGTAATTCTACGTTTAATTTATACGATGTTTTATCCGGTAAGGTGAAATAATAAATGGGGCAAAGGTACTGTAGAGCTTAACCGAGAATTATACCGATGAAAAATGTTTGCCGAGTCGAATTCGTAATAACAAATTGGTATTTTTAATTCAAACAAAGTATTTCTCGTTCCTTGATTTCAACACTAATTATTCATCGAACTTGTATGATAATTCCCGTAATTTTCACAGAAATACATCGAACAGACTGTTTAATGAGGGCAACAATATTTATATGTACTATACAGGTAATACAGATAATCCAGCTTACAGAACAAGATGC